TAAATAAAAAAAAAAAAAAAAAAAAAAAAAAAAAAAAATTTTCATCATGTTTAAAAAAAAACGTGTCCCACAGACGCAGGTTTACTCAACTTCCTGGAACACGCGTGTGGCTGTCAGCCGAGGATGCCACATGACCAAGGTCACTACGGAGACCATGTCCATGACCACGAGACATGCATTTCCACCGGAAAGACGGCGATGACAGAAGAGGATGGTGTGCTCACCAGGCTCGCCAGCAGCGCCCAGGACCCCTGCGCCCCCCCGACCCCCGCTAGCGCTGGCACGTGGCTCCACCCACGCCGAAGGGGCCCCGAGCAGGGCGAGCAGCGGGACGCTGGAGACAAGCGGGACTGTGAGCCTGGCCACAGAAGGCAGTCCCCCCAGTCGCCCCGGCGGACCCAGCGGTCGTGTGGCGAGGACACTCAGGCAGCCCCGAGAGGCCCCCGCGGGGAGAAGCTGCGCTCCCTCGGACGCGGATCCAACACCTCGTCCGTCCTTCAGGCGATGCCGCCCCCGCCAACATCCCCCCCGACTCCAAGAGAGGCTCCCAAGCAGACCTCGCGGCTGGGCCACCAAGGAGAGCACGGCCACAGGCATCTGAGACACTAACGGTCGCTATGTGCAGCCGTGGTTTTCGGGTGACCCGCCTGCCCCACGGCAAGAGAAAACCAACACAGCAAGACTCGACACGGCGTGGGCTGCAGACGTGATCCCAGGTGCTTCTGCGTGAGAGACGTGAGTCCCACGCAGAGGTTTCGCTCGTGCTGCTCACTGCCGTTCAGCTGGGCAACACGAAGCATCTCTGCTCCAGAGTGAAGAAACGTCCTGACTTCGGTTTGGTGTCACCCTGGCCTCTCCTGGGTCTGTAAGGTTCTCTGTGCCCACACCTGGTTCCTCTCGCTCCTCCCTCGGCAGCCTCGCCCGTATTCCCACCGCCACCCCCCCCCAGACCATTCCTGATCCTATAAAAATACTCAGCAACCTGAAACCCACTGTTGGAAGACAAAGTGCGCGGCCCAGACAGCTGCTGTCAGAGCTCCAACGCCGACGGGCACGCTCCGCCCGCTGGAGTGCCAAGGGACCAGCGCCCGCCTTCCTTCGGCGGCAGCTCCTGGCCTCAGCAGGGGTGATCCACGGGAGGGACGGGCTCAGCTGAGAATGCCGGAGCGAGCTCGAAGCGGAACCACACCCTGCACAGAGCAGCCACACGCAGCGGGGAGAGTAGAAGCAAATCAGCAAGACACGCAGGAAGCGCAATACACTTATCGTCAGGTCCCCAAGCCAATCACCTGCCAATCTAGGACCTTGCTTAAGCAGACACCCACCGGGGCACCTGGGTGGCTCAGTGGGGTCGGCATCTGATTCTTGGTTCCAACTCAGGTAATGATCTCACAGTTCACAAGATGAAGCTCCACATCGGGCTCCACGCTGATGGTGCAGAGCCTGCTTGGGATTCTCTCCCTCTCTTTGCCCCTCCCCTGCACAAATGCACAGGTGCTCCCTCTCCCTCACGCTCTCCCTCTCTCTAAATAAACAAACTTCAAAAAAAAAAACAAAGGCACCCTATTTATAAACTAAACATGATCCCTGGCTTGGGGGCACTTATTTCCCCTGCAAACACAGGAAAGAGCTCATTAATAGAAAGGGCTCACATATTTAAAGGGAGGGGATGGGCAGGAGATGGGGGTGGGAAGGAGACGGGTGTGGAGGGAGAAGTGTGAAACACACACAGCACACCCGGAATTACAACCATACCTCCCTAAGCCACCTCCACGCAGAGCCAGGCTTCAGAAAAGAGGGGATGAGTTCAGCCAGTGCCCACGTGAGGGGAAGAGGGAGGGAGACAGAGAACGAACGTGCATGGCCAGCTTAGTCCGAACTCGGCCACCCAGAAGATGTGTGTTTTGTGTTTTACCACCAGCATTACCGGTTTTCAGGTTTTGTTTTTCAAAAGATTCACGTCTGACCTTTCCACTTTCCAGAGGGGGGCCCAGGACCTCGCACAGCGCCACAGACCTTGGATAAAGGTACGGACACACCCAATGGGAGAAGGAAAAGAAGATGAAAGAGAGACCCCGCGTGCCCGCTCCTCAGGCTCAGCAGAGGCGCCCAGTGGGGTTTACGCAGGGACCCCAGCGGCCGGGGCAGGACGGCCCTTGGAGGGTCTCTGAGGGTCCATAGGACGGGAGGTGTCCGCACAGCGGAGCATCCTCAGGACACAGAAAGGAAGTCACTAACACACACCGGCCACAGTGAGGCTGAGGGAGAGGCCAGACTCGCAAGGCCACGCGGTGTGTGACTCTGCCTCTGCGAAGCGCCCAGGACCGGCAGATGGGTGGGGAGGGAAGCGAGTGAAGGGTGCCGGGGGCTGGGTAGGGGGTCCTTTGGGGTGACAGGACGGCCGGCACCGAGGCAGGGGTGGTGGTCGACAACGCCATGCGCACATTAAAAACCACAGAGTGTGCGGTGTGGACGCTTCCCGTGAGCCGTGTCCCACTGGAGGGAGGACCTCCCCCAGCCCCCACTGCTCTGCGCCGAGCGCCCCCAGCGGGGCCAGGCTCACGCCCCTCACACACGCTTGCTACTTAAGTGCTATCACATCCGCGTCAGGAGCCGGGGCAAAGGCCCTCCCGCATTCCCGTCACGAAGCCAGGACTTACTGCCCTGCTCCTGCGGCCGAGCCTGCCTGCGTCTAACCGCCTGCCCCAGGCACCCGGCAGCCCAGCCCGGCCCGCCTCAGATGCGCTCAGAACACGGACACAGCCTCCGGGTGGGCACGGCCATCGGCACAAAGCCTGTTTTATAACCAGGTGCTGACTACCGCATGTAACTGACCGATTCCTGTGCTGAAAGTGACAGACGGGAGGCTGGGTGGGTGCAGGTGGCCGTCTGCGCACCGCCTGCCAACCCTCCCGTGTGGCTGATTGGGGCGGCGGCCGCTGCCCAGCATCACAGGAGGGGACGGGGCCACGATCGCCAGCCTGAGACAGGATCCGGACCCAACATTCCAAGCACGAATCCTGCTGAAGGCGTGACTGCTTCCACCCCATGGTGATGTCGAACAGTCGCACGCTGAGCCATCCAGTCAGGGAGAATCTGTCTGGGGTCTGTCCCCGTCTCCCTCACCAGCAAGTCAGCCCGAGCGCAGGGACCTTGTGCACCACGTGCCCAGCACCTTGCACTGAAGACACACCCGACACCAATCTGAGGACAAGTGACGGATGGATGTGGGCCTAGTGGGGCCTCCCCGGGGCTCCTGTGCACACCGCCCAAACTGCACCCGACTGAGGACGGGGCAAAATCACAGGGAACGGCCCGAAAGCTACGTAAACACACGGCTCTGCGGTTCGTACCCAACAATGTGCCTCAGAAGCGACCTTGGGCTTTAAAATCCTAAGAGCCCAGGGGCGCCTCAGTGGCTTAGTCGGTTGAGCGCCCGACTTTCGCTTAGGTCATGATCTCGCGGTTCGTGGGTTCGGGCCCCGCGTCGGGCTCTGTGCTGACTGCCAGCTCAGAGCCTGGAGCCTGTTTCAGTCTGTGACTCCCTCTCTCTCTGACCCTCCCCTGCTCACGCTGTCTCTCTCTCCTACAAATAAAAAATAAATAAATAAATAAAAAATTAAAAAAAAAAAAATCCTAAGAGCCTGGGTCCCATCCCTGGAAGATGAGCTCTAAGAAGCCACAGCAGGGACTAGGCAGCCAGGATTTTAAAGCCGTGCAGGGATTTCAGAGGAACGACCCCCACTGGGAGCCACGCACGTCTCCCCCGTGGCACAGTCTGCCGGGTACGTACACGTTTGGGTCCGCTCATTTAAGCCCTACATTATCCCCGGAGGTGGGACGATCATCCTCTGCCCTTGATAGAGGCCGAAACAGACCCAGACAGGGTAAGTGGCTTGCCCAAGGTCGCACAGCTACCAGACCTCATCTGCCCCCGTTTCAGGCACTGAAAGCACAATAATCTGACTTTGGACAGCACTGCCGAAGCAATAGCTTGTGGTGTAGACCAAGTTGCTAGAGGCAAGGGCACTGGCATCACAGGGACTGAGAGCAGAACCTGGGCAGGTGACGGCAGAGGGCACGGCGCCCCAGGCTCCCTTTCCACGGGACGGGCCCAACCAGCCCACACACCTGGACAGCACGGTCTCAAAACCGGAAGCCGCGAGTCACAAACACCAAGGGTCCAACGACATTCACCTGTGCTGAAGCCCAGTTTCCTCACAATCTGGTAGCACACGTGTCCAAAATGGCAAACGAGGGGTCCCTGGGGGACCGTCAGTTACATGTTTGACTTGACTTCAGCTCAGGTCATGTTGGTTGGGGAGTTCGAGCCCCACACTGGGCTCTGCACTGACAGTGAGGAGCCTGCTTGGGACTCTCCCTCTCTCTGCCCCTCCCCCCACACTCTTTCTCTCAAAATGAACTTTAAAAAATAAATAAATAGGGGGCACCTGGGTGGCTCAGTCAGTTAAGCATCTGACTTCAGCTCAGGTCATGATCTCATGGTTCGTGGGTTCAAGCCCCACGTCGGGCTCTGTGCTGACAGCTCAGAGCCTGGAGCCTGTTTCAGATTCTGTGTCTCCCTCTATCTCTGACCCTCCCCTGCTCACACTCTATCTGTCACTCTCTCTTTATCTCTCTCTCAAAAATAAAAATTAAAACAGGGGCACCTGGGTGGCTTAGTCGGTTGAGCGTCCGACTTTTGCTTAGGTCATGATCTCGCGGTTCATGGGTTCGAGCCCCGCGTCGGGCTCTGTGCTGACTGCCAGCTCAGAGCCTGGAGCCTGTTTCAGAGTCTGTGACTCCCTCTCTCTCTGACCCTCCCCTGCTCACGCTGTCTCTCTCTCCTAGAAATAAATAAAACATTTAAAAAATAAATAAATAAAAAAATAAAGATTAAAACAAAAATTTTTTCTAATAAAAAAGAGAAAATTAAACACAGATTCACCACATGACCCCCTTCTGGGTATACACTCAAGAGAATCCAAAGCCAGACCTCAGGGAGCTATCTGCACACCCATGTTGGTTACAGTCTTCCCAACAGCCAAGAGGGGGAGCGAGCCAAGGGCCCACTGGCAGCAAGGGACAAACGACATGTGAGGCAGCCCCACGAGGAACTATTACGCAGCCTTAAAGAAGACGGAAATCCTGGCACATGCGACCATGTGGCTGAACTTTGAGCTTCGGATTCTCTCTCGCTCTCTGCCCCTCCCCTGCTCTCTATCTCAAAATACATAAATAAATAAAAATCTTCTTTAAAAATGCTTAAGACGGTACATTTAACGTTAGGCTTTTTTTTTTTTACCACAGTAAGAAAGAAAGGAGGGGAAAAAGGTGCCAAGCCACTATTTGGAGACACACACTGCAGTTTGTGAATGTTCCGGAGCCTCGCCAACCTGTGGCTCTCTGGGGAAGTGGCCCCAAGGACACTAAAGGGGGAAAACCCAAGTGGCTGTCGACTCACTTGCAGCGTAGAGGGCGACCTTGTCGTTCTCCTCGTGCCGCAGGAGGTTTTCCGCATAATTGAGCCGGCTGCCTCGGAACCACTCAGGGACATCCGCGATCCCCTTGGATGTGTCCACGACCTACAGGGGGCGACGGCAGACCAAGACACAATAAGACCCACGCGGGAGTAAACAAAAGTCACCCTGCTTCCCAGGAAGCCGCCACCCTGGCCCAAAGCATCATTCGATCGTTTGGTAGCCTGAACGCGGAACCGGCCTGAACACTTGAAAGTGAAAAGAGGTTCGCGCCCTGTAGTGAATCAGGAAGGATTTTACAGGCGGAAGGTGCCGAGAGAGATCTTTTATTTTTATTTTTTTTTTAATGTTTTTATTTATTTGCGAGAGAGAGAGACAGAGTGCAAGCAGGGGAGGGGCAGAGAGAGAGGGAGACACAGAATCTGAAACAGGCTCCAGGCTCTGAGCTGTCAGCACAGAGCCCGACACGGGGCTCAAACCCACAAATCGTGAGATCATGACCTGAGCTGAAGTCGGATGCTTAACCGACTGAGCTACCCAGGCATCCCGAGAGAGGGGATCTTAAGCATTCTAGCCACAAAGAGAAAGCAAGCCAAGGTGATGGATGCGTGAATTTCCACAATGTACCCATATAGCAAATCATCACGCTAGACGCTTTAAATATATATAGTTTCTTGGCACCTGGGTGGCTCATTCAGTTAAGCATCAGACTTTGACTCAGGTCATGATCTTACAGTTCGTGGGTTCAAGGCCCACGTCGGGCTCTGTGCTGACAGCTCAGAGCCTGGAGCCTGTTTCAGATTCTGTGTCTCCCTCTCTCTCTGCCCCTCCCCTGCTTGCACTCTGTCTCAAAAATAAATGAATATTAAAAAAATTTTTTATAACGTATACAGTTTTATAGTTAATCATTCCTTAATGAAGTTTAAAAAACAAATAAAAGAAGAGTGCCTGGGTGGCTCAGTCAGTTGAGCATCCGACTTCGGCTCGGGTCATGATACTGTGGTTTGTGAGTTCGAGCCCCGCGTCAGGCTCCGTGCTGACAGCTCGGAGCCTGGAGCCTGCCTCGGATTCTGTGTCTCCTTCTCACTCTCGGTCTCTCCCCCACTCATGTTCTGCCTCTCGCTCTCAGAAATAAACATTAAAAAAAATTTTTTTAAGAAATTAATGCCAGGGACCAACGGAATGGGAAAAGATAGTTGCAAATGACATATCAGATAAAGGGTTAATATCCAGAATCTATAAGGAACTCACCAAACTACACGCCCGAAAACCAAACAACCCAGTGAAGAAATGGGCAGAAGACATGCACAGACACTTCTCCAAAGAGGACATCCAGATGGCCAACAGACACATGAAACGATGCTCAGCATCCCTCCTCATCAGGGAAATACAAATCAAAACCAC